CTGGTTGAGAGACTCGCGAGTTAGCACCTTTTCGCGGGCGCGAATCCATTTTCGCGGGCTGGAAGTAACTCGCGAGTTTTGTATATCTCGCGAAATTGGATTCGCGGGCACGAATCCCAGGCTCTGCACATGGCTTCAACTCGATTTGCTCTAACTTTTCGCACGGTTATCCGATTGACTTGAAACTTCGACCCATGCTTCCCAAATCTTTTTCTCTTCATCTTGAGATGCGCAAATTGATATTACCACACAATTAATAATATGCCCGGAGCGGCTCGAAAATGGCCCGTGTGGCTCGAACATGGTTCGGACGACTCGAAAATGTCTCAGAAATGGCTCGTCTTTCCAAGATCGAATAATGTGGACCTAAACAACACCAAAAAGACAAGAAAAGTACGCCGAACCACAAAAACATGATACGAGAATAAAAATGCACGAAACACGATAAAATGGACCGGTCGACACTAAAACGAACCTAAAAATACTAAACTAAAGCACATAAAACACACGAAAATAAGCACAAAAACACAATAAACAGAAACCCCTCGAGGTTAAACCTAGGTAATCTCGTCCGGAAACCTCGTTTGGAAAGAGAAGCTCACGAAATGAGTTCGTGGGAGTCGAAAGGATTAGGCTCCTCTTGGCTCTGTTAATCTTCTAGATAGATCGGGTCAAGGAGCACAAAAAACCGGCCTAGGCGACTCGGGAATAACCTCCAAGGTTTAACCTAGGTAATAATCGTCCTAACGGCTTCCATTTGGAAAAGGTGACTCATTAAAAAAAAATGGAAAAATGAAAAGAAAAATGGGGGTTGGCTTATGGTCTCGATTTTTTTATCCTATACATTGAGTAGACCGTTTTGGGCTTTTTGCACGTGTTTATTGTAGAAGGAAGTTTGCATTGAGTAATTCATGATTGAATAACTTGGGACTTGTTTTTGTTTTGTTGGATTCACATGGGGGGAACGTGTTCTCGAGTTTGAGTTTTATTTTGTAAATAACCGAGTGATTAGGAGAGTACATAATGCATGTTTGTTGATCTTGGACCGCTCAATCTCTCCTTTCAACACTACTTGTTGTTTTGTTTGCTTGTTGTTTTGTTTGCTTGAGGACAAGCAAAGGTTTAAGTGTGGGGGAGTTGTTTGTTATGTTTTTGTCCTTATTTTCTTGTATTTTATGTGTTTTATTTTGTGGTTCTTAGGTCCGTTTTTAGGCTCGACCGGTCCATTTTGTCGTGTTTTGTATATTCTTGCTCTTGTATAGCTTGTACGTATTTTTGCACGTTTTTCTCTTTGTTTTTGGTGTGATTAGGTCCATTTCATCGCGCACAAGGAGACGAACCGTCCGAGCCGATCGAGCCGTCCAATCTGGAAATTTTGACCAAACCATACCCGGAGGAAGAGCATTCAAAGACAAGAATTTTGGTCCAAGTTTTGGGCGAATCGGAGTTCGGTGCGGGAAGATAGAGCGAAACGAAGAATCAAGCAGAACCGAGCCCACGCCCGCACGCACGCCCACACGCCAAGCAAACTCGCGAGCTCGCCTCAATTCTCGCGAGGTCGAGAGCTTCTCATTTGCCATAGCCACAGCACGCTGCGAGCTCGCCTCAATTCCCGCGACTTCGAGAGCATCTTTCCACCATGGCCGCGATCTCGCTGTCGATTCCGCGACGTCGAGAGCCTCGTTTCGGCATGACCGCGAGCTTGCCGAGAGATCCGCGACCTCGAGAGCCCCCTTCTCGTGCACAACCGTCCATCCTCATGCCGCGTGCTCGCGAATGTTGTAGCGTGGCCGAGAGTGCTTCATTTAATCTGCGTGTTTTTAGTGTGTTTTTGTGGTGTAGCTATATAAAGATATTTTGCTTTGTATTTTTGGAACACAACTCTCATTTCCCAACTTTAAGTTGGGAAAATCCTCTCTATTTTCTTTTTCTTTTTTTATTTTTATTTTGGTTTGGAGCTTTATGAATCAAGTTTTCCGGCGAACTTCCGGCGACATTGTTTTGAGCAAAGTTTCAAGCTTTTGATTCCGTTTCTTCTCCCGAGTGCATGGTGGAGTGGGTAACTTAGTTTTAAGCCCCATTACCTAGTATATCTTTCTTGCTTTGGCAAAATTGATTTTGTGCTTGAGATTTTGGAAGAAAAGATTGTTGCTTTGGATCATGAATGTTTGACTAAGTGTGATAGGGGTTGAATTCTTGCTCGATTCATGCTAGAGTTTGATTTGAATTTTTAGGGTTTTTAGCGAACATGGCAATGGTTGGATTTTTGCGTGGTTTTGATCATGATGACTCCGATGAACCAATCTCCCTCTTTCCCCCTTTATTTCTCTTGCTTGCTCTGTCTCTCTCTCTCTCTCTCTCTCTCTCTCTCTCTCTCTCTCTCTCTCTCTCCTTTTCTCCCTCATGCGCTCATGCTTTACTTGCTTTCTCATGCTTTCAACTAGTAGTTTAGTTTAGTTTAAATTCAACCCAAACCAAGCGATTAGCATGTCTAGGATGTTTTCGGTTGTGTGATTTGGCGACTAGGTAGTGTACAAAGCTCCGAAGAGCCTTCTTTTGAGAACGACCCGAGTCGGGTAGCTCGGTTATCCCTTGCCCAAAAATACTACAAACATTAAATTGCTAGAGTAAATGATTATTTGTTTATATCTGCAGAAACTTGTAAAAATCGTATAAAATTGAGTTCTTGATGAAAATGCATGGAACTTAATTGGTTTATATGGTTATTTGATGATGTTATATGTGAGGTAAAAATCCCAGGAATTATTAGATTCATTATGTTAGGTTTTTGTTTGAATCATGTTTTCTGCTGAAACTTGTAACATTTCATAATTCACATGTTCAGTGTTTATACCTGGAAAATTTATATGTTGTTCCCAGCATGCTGGAAGTTATATTTATTTCCGACATTGCCGACGTCCTAACAGAACCCAACAGAGAGTGGCCTAAACCCCTAAATAAATATCAAAGACGTAGGCACCTTAGTTCGTTGGCAATCCAGTATTGTTGTTTTTATTTTTTCATTTATTTCTGTAATAAATCTGAACTAAATTACTAACCACACTTTAAATAACATTTGGTGGTCTGATTGGCGAAAACAGATGTCAACATAGTCTAAACATTCATAGGCTCCAAACAAAGCTCTCACCATTTATCATAGTTTTCTTTTGTAACTGAAGGAACTACAAAATAGTGTTTTGTTTGATATTTTTCATGTTCGATTACACTATAATTGACTTCAATTGTACTACTTTGAGTTCAGTTGGACTAATTCGAGTTCGGTTACACTATAATTGACTTCATTGGTTAGCTAAAGATTCAGAATATTATGAACACTTCGAACTATTGCAATAAATGTCAAGCCGAGCCCTTAGACCAACTCCAGCGCTGCTCTAGAATGGAGCAAAACGCTGGAGTAGCGTCAAATATATGCTCCAATCCTGCGCTGGAATCCTGCGCTACAAGCCATATGTGAACAGTGTTGCGCCAGATGTGGCGCAACACTGTAGCAGCGCTACATATTTTCTTTATTTATTTTTTTATTTTTTTAATGTAATATTAATGATAAATTTTTGTATAATGTGTATTAATAAATATATTTTTATGCTAAATAACTTTGTGCAATGTATTTTTATTCTAAATAATTTTGTAGTTTTTATTTATTGATGTATTATAATTTTATTTTGTATTTTTTAATATTAAAATAGTACTGTATAAATAAAAATTAACACATTCAAACAAGCAGATTTCATTAAAATTAAAAGTTTATATAAGATTTATATAAGATTAATTATACAAAATTTAGATTTAATGCATATTTACAGTCTAGACCGTATATGGTTTAGGGCATATATTCACTAAGAAAATCTAGACTATAAATATATGCCCTAAACCATATACGGTCTAGACCATATATGCCCTAAATCATTTTTCAAAATGTGAATATATGCCCTATTACAATCATTTTCCAAATGATTGTAGTAAAATTATGTTAAATAAAAATAAATAAAATATATTTTTATTGTTTGAGTAATTAACATTTTAGATTAAATATACATATATACCAATTTATTTGAAATAAAAAATGAATAAAAAATAATATATTTAATGTAGAGTAAAATGTAGAGATAAGGGTTAGAGATGAATGTTCAACTCTACTCTAGAGTAGAGTAAAGTCCGCGCTATAATAGAGATAAGGGCTGGAGATGGCCTTAGTACGCTACGCTTTTATTTAATTAAGTGCATTTGAAGATTTCAAAACACTTGAATTTGTTAAAAATGGAGGAGGAAAAGTGGAAGAAGCTAGAAACTTTATTATATGCTTCTTCTTTGTCTTACTTGAATTCTCCACTCTTATTACTAATGACTCATATTGTTAGGGTATTTAATTATAGATATAATAATGTTTAAACCCCTGTAATCACTAAAATACATTTCACCTACACCTACATTTTATTTTTATGAATCATACTAGTCCCTATAAGTTGACCAATACTAAATACATGGGCATACTTTTATGTTCTTCTAGGTACACTAACCATACAAATTTAATTTAATAATTCAAATAAATTAAATACGACCGCCTCCACAAGTAGTTAAACAAATCATAATGAATCATACGAGTCCCTATAATTCACCAATACTAAATACATGGGCAGACTTTTAATTATGTTCTTCTAGCTAGGTACACTAACCATAAAAAAAATAATTTAATAATTCAGTTAAATTAAATATGACCGCTTCCACAAGTAATTATACAAAACACTTTTTCAAACCAAATAATTGAACATATTATTAGTCTTACAACGATGGAAAAGGACACCAAATAAATTAAAATAAGTTTAATTTTTTATTACATGTAATTCAAGAAAGTGAAAATACATTATAATATAATATGATAATCAAAACATTCACCCCATAACTTCAAATAATTAATCTCTCATTAAGGATATTATTATTAATGTGCAAGCAGTAGTAACTCTTCAAGTTTGTTCATACTACTACACCTCCTTCACTTCCACCGCCGCCGCCGCCGCCGCGGGTGCATCAACCTTGACTTCCTTCTCCGGCAGCAAGTTGGCCTTGACCTCCTCTTTTTCCTCCGGCGCCGGCAGCCCACCATCACCAGCCTCTTCCTTCTCCTTCTCCTTCTCCTTCTCGTTTTCCTTCTCCTCCACCACCTTGGGCTCCTCAATCTGGAAAGCCTCGACGGGGAAGGAGCGGCTGAGGCCAGCTGGGGTCTTGAATGTGATTTTTCCGGTCGGTGGATCGTCGACGTAGATGTCGGAGAGGGTGACCCATAGGAGGAGCTCCTTGGTCTTGACCCCGGTCAGCTTCCGGATGCGGTTGGGCTCGACGTAGGCGGTGACCTCGGTCGCGTACCTGACCGGCCGGCCGATCTTCTCGAACCGGTGCTCGCACTTGGCCTTCTGGCGGAGCCACACGAAGCCGGTCTCCTTCACGTAACCGCACTCTTCCATGTCCTTGAGCGGCAGCAGCCCGTTTGGCAGATTCATCTCCGTCAAAAGGAGTCGAGACTTCTCCTGACATATATCGTCCCCCTCGTACGTCTCCGACGCGGCTGCCCGGATCTCGTCGGTCACAAGAGACATTTTCTTTTCTTTTTTTTTTTTTCTTTTTTCTTTAACACGACGTCGTTAACTTTTGTCTGTGAGATATATGGAAAGAAATTTTGCCGGGTGATTTATAAATGGGTGTTAAAGAGGAAAAATAAATAAATAAATAAACTTTATTTGTTCGTTGTTTGTTGTGGTAATAAATGTGGTGTGACGGTGGTGGTGTGTGGGTGGGGATTGTAATTAAGGATTGCATGGGCGGAGTTACGTGGCTGGATGTATATAGGTGACCTAATTTGTCTACACCTTTGCTCTGACTGTCGTCGTTTTTTTATGAAATTTTTTGGGTTTGTTTGGAATTTTTTGATTTGGTTTAGTCAATTTTGAAAAAAGTGATATGATTAGTTATTAGTGGATATATTAAAATAATATTTAAAATATAATAATTAAAATTAGTTTGATGTAAAAGTAGGAAAGAGAAGATGTGATGTGATGGTTAATTAATGTGAGTGGATGAATAGTGAATTAAGATTTATGTGGTGTGTATAAATGATTGATTGATATTATTTAATTATATTGATAATATTGATGATAATGTAGTTGAGTTAAAGTTGAGTTAAAAAAAAAAAACGTGGTTGAGTTAAAATGTGAGAATTTTTTGAAAAATCTTATAAACAAACTGTCTCACCCTTTAGTTTAAATGAAAAAAGCTAGTACAAAATACAAGTGGTTACATATATCCTAGTTAAAAAAAAAAAGAAGGCAAAATTGTATATTACGCCATGTAACTAAGGGTGTGTGCCAAATGTGGACAATTTCATTTTAGTTTGGCAAAATTGCCTTGATACTTGTTAAAACTCGAAATTCGTGCCTAATTTTTGGGCCCAAATTTTGAATTTTAACAAGTTACTGTCTTGTTTTGCCACACGAAAAATCAGTCATATCCGGTAACTTGCAAGTAAATTGGGCACGGATTCTGGGTTTTAACAAGTTTCAGGGCACTTTTGCCAAACCAAAAAGAAGATGTCCACATTTGTCACACACGAGACAACTTTTTATTTAAATTTAATATACATTTTAAAATATTGCAATGTAATCAATATTTAAATGAGACATTCACTTGTACAATTTGTGTCTTATATTATAATAATTTTTAATTCAAATAAGATTTTGAATTCTTAGCTAACGTTTTTAATTGATAATATATTTTTTCCATTTTTAATTAATATGAATAGATGAATTAATTTTAATATAAATTTATTTATTTATTTAATTTATGAAATACGAATATCCAATCGAAGTTTGTCAAAATATAATTAATTTAATATATTTGTATAAAATAACGGTAATAAAAATATAAAATTATTAAGTACTAAATATATTTATAATTTAAGTTATTAAAGTATTTAATAACTTGATATGTTTTGGTAAATATGGATAGGTGGACTACTTCAATCGCATTGACACATAAGATAGGAAACTAGCACATAGAATTACGAAACACCAGAAATTCGACACGATTACGAAACAACGAAAATACACACATAGGATTGAAAACTGTGCATATATATACTATGGATATTATTACATTTTACACCCTTAAAATCAAAGGGCGAAGTAAAAATCAGGGAAATAATAATCTATTAATTCAATTAAGTATTAACCAAATACAAAAATATTTGGTTAATACTTTTGTAATAGTAAATAAGTTATATTATTAATTATATTAGTAAAGTTAAGAATAAAAATATAAATTAAAGTAAGAGTGATATATTGGAAGAAAAAACATATCCTACAAATAAAATTGGGGAAAATGCTACCATCCCGTTACGGTACCATCCCGTCAGATGTTTTAACCGTTGGATCATCGATCTTATCTAACTACACGTAGATCTAACGGTTAAAACAACCGACGGGATGGTACCGTAACGGGACCGTAGCATCTCCCTAAAATTGGATATAATATAGTATTTTCGATCCTAAATATGGTAAGTGAGCACGGTAGTGAAAGTGTTCCGTTGCTGTCGGTCCAATCAGCGTGAAGCAAACTCCTTGGAAAAAGCGAGTTCGACACTTCAAAGTTACTATTTGTGAAAAAAAAAAATGTACTATGATTTTATACTACAAATAATATGATTTCAAAATGAAGTGTTTATATTGGTCCGGCATTTCCTTTTACAGCTATGACCCACGTATTAAAATTAAATAAAAGATATATATTATAATCTTATATTAGAAAACTGAAATTTTATGATTTTGATTGTTAAACAAAAAAGTTACAATTTTATAGTAGAAATAAAAATGGTATGATTTCAACAAAAATTCTATGGAGTCGGTTTTGGTTTTCTTATAGAATACGTGTCAATATACTATTTTTGAATAACTATTGATTGATGGCTCTATAAGCCGAATCATACGATGTCTCCATAGCAAAAATGTGATTTTCAAACCACTTGTGTATATATTGTTGAAAAGATTTTTATGAATTGAGGGCATTTTTAATTATTTATTTATTTATTTATTTATTGGTGTGTGTGTGTGTGTGTGTGTGTGATATTAATAAAATACTTTCACAATTCTATAGTCTTGTAATCTCAATTTTGTGTAAATTAAGAATGCCATTTTTCTTGATATTGTATGAAAATAAATAACATAAAAAAGAATTGGGGGACAGTACGTAGTTAATGTAGTTGGTTAGCTAGCTCATTTCATTCTAGATGGTACATCGCTTTAGATGGTCAATTTCCTAATGCCACTAGTCAAGCTCTTTATGATTTTAGACGAAGAAGGTTTAGCGCAGTGACGCATACCTTGCTCGGCGTATCCCATATCCCGAATTTGAGTCACTGAAAGGAAAATTGAGGAATCAGTATTAATCCTCTTGTGTGCGTGTGTAAAAAAAAAAAAAGCTCTTTATGATTTTAATTACGAACCAAACCAACCAAAACGAGGCAAAAATTCAGTTTTGTTCGGTTTACTTGTCCAAAGTCTATTTTTGGTACACCAATTTTTTTCTAATCAATAATAGTATGTTATGTTGTACTTTGTATCATTATTGGAACATTATCCCAAAATTGGTACGTTGTTTTTTAGATTAATGTCCCAAAAATATTACAAATTGAAACATAACGTACTATTTTTTTATGAATAATGTCCCGAAAATGATACAAATTACACATAATGTACCATTTTTAATAAAGAAAAATTTAGTGTATTGCAAATGGATTTTAACTAAGTAAGCGATTTTTGCCACATAAACCATGATCGCCTAATTAAATTTTCAAGTTTGTATATTGACTAAAGGTATAAGGAGTAGGGACATCTTTACACCAGCATTATTAGAAATGCAATAAAGAGGAAATTATTATGAAACCCAAAAGTCAAATATTATATTATATTATAATATTAAAAAGGAAGAAAGAAAAATAAAGAGCGAGTGGACTAATTATATTGCAATTAAGTTCTGCAGCTGCTGAATATTTAAGGAGGGAGGGCTCAGGTGGTTGAAAGGAAAACTGCAAACAAAAATAAATTAGCATAGCAGGTAGTTGGTAGTGGAGTGGTAGCCATTTATTTATGGACAAGATGGAAAAAAAAAATGTGATCTCAAATATTGCCAACTAATCTATATATATATAAAAAAAATTAACATTTTCTAAAAATAGTAGGTCATATGCTGGTCAAATCTCAATTAACATTAATTACATTTCATACTTAGTAACTTTTTTTTTTTTTCAAGAAAGTCAGCATTAAACACTATCCTAAAATTATGGTATTTGTTACTTTTCTATCAAAAAATTGTGCTACCTTAAAGAAACAATATTACATACCATAATTTTTTGGCTAACTAAAGTGTTTTGTTTGGAAACTATTATATTTTAATTAGAACAAATTACGGTTGATTTAATCTTGAAATGGTACAACAATTTTATTTTTTTAATGTGCACCCTAAATTTATATATTTTGTGGATTTAATTTAGGTAAATTTTGACTGATGCAAAAGTCAATTTTCTTTCTCTATTTTTATTAAAAAAACTGAATAAAATAAAATAAAAAATTTTGAATTAGGCAAAATACTATCACATATATCATTTACTAATTGCAACAAATCAATTATTTATTATAAAAATCGGATTGCATAGTCGGCATGATAATTTTGTAAAAGTCAAAATTCTTTTATTTTTTATTAAAAAAATATGTTTACCATACAATCGAGAATTTTAAATTAGACAAAACACTATAACATGTATCTTTACTTAATTGTAGCAGATCATGTTTATTAAAAAAAATCGAATTACATAATAATCGGGCCAAATTTCAAATTAAAATTTAAAAATCTATTATCATTTGATTCCTACTTTCTTTAATTCGAACTTTTTTTAAACATAAAACAAAGTCATATAATATTAATTTGAAATTCAAAATGAAATCGATTGTAACATCCTAAAAATTTGGATTTTGTTTAATTATCTAGAATACAAATTTGAAATTGATTGAATACACTTACAAAATAAATAATGATTTCATACACTTACAAAATATCGTATATATTCTTCTAAATAATTTAATCGATTTATTTAAGACTATCTACAATCTTAATAAAATTTGTGGCGATAGACGATGTACCAAAAGACCAAAAAAATAGCTTTGTGTACAATGATGTGTTTAATAATATATAGCGTTACATTGTGTTTCATTTCAATATATGTATTATACGTTCTTCCAATCATCCAAATTTAACTGCTTACCTTAATAAAACTAGCTCGTGCATCGCACGGGTACCACACTAGTAATATATAAACTGTGAAAGAATTATTGTTTATAATTGAATACTAAACAAATTTACCTTTAGGATGTAAATTGGTTGGCTAGGGGATCTGTTGGGTTCGATATACCGCACGAGGCGAAACGCAGTGGAAATTAAACAAAGTAAACAAGCATTTATCAAATCTTTATATATATAATAAGAATAACCAATTAATAAAAAAAAAAACTAGTGTGGTACCCGTGCAATGCACAAGTTAGTTTTATTAATG